GAAGCTACGATGGATGCAGAAGTTCAGTTGGTCCAAGACAAGGTTGAACGAGTTCAAGCTTTTCAACTACTTGTTGCTAAGAAAAGAAAAGCTGAAGAAAAAGCTCGCCTTGCTAAAGCTCAAGAAGTAAGACTAAAAGCAGAAGATGAAGCTAAAGCTACAGAGGAAGCCAGATTAGCTGAAGAAGCTGCAAAAGTAGCCGAAGAAAAAGATAAGCAGCAAGCCCTGATGGTATCCAACTCTGAGTCTGCCTGAAATCTAAAAACAACCATTGATGAAATAAGGGAAGAGCAGAAAATGTTCAGAAAACGTTTCAAAGCCCAGGACAAGGCCAATGACTCTGTTAAAACTATGCTTAAGATGATTTTGAAAAAAATTTCTAAACCTTCATCACCTTCTCCTGCAACTTCTGAAACCTAGGCTCTAGGATTCTCGTTTAGTTTCTTTGTTTGCATCTTTTGTTTTTAAATAAATTATCCTGATGATTAATTGAAATATTATTTTCATCTCTTTTAGCTCTTAATATTTTTAGTCTTTTATGTCTTCACGCATAGTTATCTTTTTGATGGTGTCAAAAAGGGGGAGAAGTATAATTATAAATTTTGATGAACCTAATGAAATGCATCATAATAATTAAATGATATAAAATATGTATTTACCACTAACACTTTTTTGTCTGTTTGTTAATTAACCGAGGAACTCTGAACAAGTTCACTAGGCATTCTAAGACAAGTCAAAATGAAAGAACTGATTATTCATATAATCTAAGATGTATACTCTATGAACATATATTTAAATATCAGATAGACCCAATACTGTTCCAAAGTTGCTAACTTTCTTAAAGTTAAAATCATCTTGATTTTGGTATCATAATGTTCAAAAGATGTAAAATGTCTGAGAATGTAATATTCAAAAAATAAGAATCAAAAGCAGAAGCAGATGTCTTCCAGAAGAACTGAGTAAAGCAGAAGTTGAAGACTGTCTGAAATTTCAGAGTCAATACTCTAAAGGATCTTGATATCTGATCTATTGGAACCAGGGGAGTTTTACCCAAATGGTTCAGAGTCAGGATATTCGATCTTCACCCAGTATGTGACTCAGGGGGAGTTTCTCATCTGAAGGATAAGTATTTCTTACCTTTCTAATTTCACTGATTATGTTTATATGTACAAAATTGTGTCATCAAAATACATAGTTTTGTTATCATAAAAAATGAGGAGATTATTAGAACAAGATTTGGTTCTGCAATATCATCTCTGTGTTTTGATGATAACAAATGAGTATGTTTATATGAACAATTTTGTTGCACTAATGTTTGTTATTATTGAGTACTTAACAAATAGGTTCTACTTCTGATGGATGGCGTGTCAAAGAAATTAGAAGAGAATTAGTTCCGCTGCTGCGCTACATAAGTTTTGTTGAACAATAGCAAGATACTGCAGAAGGCTCTGAAGTTTAAGCTCTGGTGTTTTTCTAAAGAAACCAGTCAAAATATCTGAAGACAGAAGTTTCTACTTACATCCAGATGCTGAAGACTCAAGCTTCTAAAGACAACGTGTTCTACGGAAACAGTCAAAAGATCTGAAGACAGAAGTTACCACTTAAGTCCAGATGCTGAAGACTCATGTTTCTAAAAGACAGTGTGTTCCAAAGAAACAAAGTTAGAAGATCTGAAGACAAAGTTTCTACTGAAGTCCAGATGCTAAAAACTTAGTTTCTAAAAGACAACTTGTTTCAAAGAAGACAAAGTTAAAAGATCTGAAGACAACGTTTCTAACTGAAGTCCAGATGCTGAAGACTTTGTGTTTCTAATAACAAGGTTCTAAAGACAAGGATTCTTAAAGAACCAAGTGCTAAAGATTCTAAAGACGAAAGGTCTGAAGATTCCAAAGACTTGAAGTTATAAAGGTCTAAGGTTATCTACAACGGGTTCTCAAGACCAAGTGCTGAAGACTCTAAAGACACAGCTCTTAAGACTCTGAAGACTTGAAGCTCTTCTGATCCAAGGTTCGCTACAAACGAATTCTCACGACCAAGTGCCGGAGACTCTGAAGATGCAGTTCTGAAGACTCTGAAGACTTGAAGTTATAAATACCTTAGGTTGTTTTCCCGCTTCTAACCTCATGCTCTCAGAAGCCTCTGAAGTGCAGAAGGAAATAATATAACGGTAACATGGTACAATTATATACAGTATGAAAAAGCTTTATTCCACTACCTATCCACTAACTTAAAGTGTGAAAGAGATAAGGATGTAGCAGTACTATTTGTAACGACTCTTTTTTAAGTAACCAACTACTCTATTTTTCTTGGCTATATAAGAAAAGAATTGTATGTTTAAATTGGTTTGTTGGCTGACTGCTTTGTGACAAGATGCTGAACAAGTTGGAATGTTGCTCATAGCTAGTTGCAATGCGTTGGTGTTCAATGTTAAAAAATGAAAGTTGTCATTATTGGAACACAACCAAACAGTTATCATCCATTATAACAACAACATGAATTCTACAAGATGTCATTCAAATCACGAATCATATACATCTTGGAAGAATTATGAAAAAACAAGGAGTTGTTGCTCATATATTGATTAATGAAGAGAGAAGATAAAAATGAAGAATTCTACAAAATGTCATTCAAATAATCAATCATATACATCTTGATAGAATTATGAAGAAGCAAAGAGTTGTTGCTCATAGCTTGTTCAACAATGAAGATGAAGACAAGAAGACTATAAGATGATGCACTTAATTTAGATTATATTCATCTTTGTAGAAATATGTAAAACACAAGAGTTGTTACTAAAATTATGTATTTCTTAAGATCTTCATGTAAATTGTTTGTACACAAGAGTTGTTACTTAGAATTATATCAAATAACATGTACTTAAATTAGGAGTAATCTGCTTGATAAGAAGCACTCATGTAATCTCCAGAAAAAGAATTCTGTTAGAATTGGTTGGTTCCTCAATTGATCGAGTGAAGATCAGAAGACTTTAGAAGACTTTGGTTGTGGCTATCATAGATGAAATCCTGATAGTAGATTCTATTGGGTTAATGGTATTCATATCTCAAAGGGGACTGAGTGAAGGTCAACTTTGTGAGATCAGTGATGGATATTATTGGAAGGAAATCCTGGTAGGAGATTATGGTGAATTGAATTCTATTGGGTCAATGAACGTTATATCCAGTATGGATCCCTGAATGCGTCATTGGATGTTAGTCACCAGCAATTTCCCGTGCAATTGTAATCAGATTGGTTATAGCGGATTAAGTCCTTGAGTTCAAGGCGAAATCACATCGGAAGGGTATACTGGACTAGCTTGGGGGTTTCTCAAGTGAACCAGGATATATGGTGCGTTCTTTACTTTTACTTATGCTTTAGAATTTATGTTTTCTTAAATTAATTAGAAGCATTACTTTGAAGTAACACTCAGAAGCATTGTTCAAAAAATAATGCCTAGAAGCGAAAGTTATTAAAGAAAGAAAAACTCAATTCAAATCCCCCTTTCTTGTGTTTTCTTCACACCTTCATTACTCTCTATGCCTTAGTCTATGTTGATGATATTCTACTCACAGACCCGTCTTCCTTGATCATTCACAAGCTCATAGATTCACTACATGCTAAGTTTGCATTCCAGAGGTTGGGGCCACCTGATTATTTCTTGGGAATTGAAATCAAATGTTTGACCTCATGGAAGCTTCTACTCACTAAATCAAAATATATTCGTGATCTCCTTGATAAATCCAATATATGCAATGTAAATGGTGTCACTACTCCCATGCATAACACATACACACTCAGCAAACATGGATCCTCTCTGCTTCAGGATCCCTTCATGCATCGAACATGGTTGGTGCACTTTAGTATGTCACTTTTACTCGTCCCGGTATTTCCTTAAGTGTCAACAAATCATGTTAATACATGGCTTCACCACTTGACTCGTATTGGAGAACAGTTAAACGTATCCTACATTATCTCAGTGACACTCTTGATCATGGATTTCTCATTTCTCCTGCAACACCCTCATGCAAGCTTTCACTTTGTGCCTACATCAGTTATGATTGGGCAAGTGATCCCGATGATATGCATTCCACCTCGACCGCATGTATCAACCTTGGCCCGAATTTTGTTTCATGGATCTCGAAGAAGTAAAGTTTGGTGGCTAGGTCTAGCACAGAGGCCAAATATCGCACTCTTGCACATATAACTTATGAGTTTCTATGGCTTGAGTCCCTTCTGCAAGAACTTCACGTGTCATTTCAATCTCTTTCGCTGATTTATGATAATCTTAGCGCGGTTTTGCTTTCTCACAATCCAATTCTTCATGTTCGCACCAAACACATTAAGTTGGACATTCCCTTTGTACGTGAACGTGCTATTTCCAAGCTCTTGAAGATCCAACATATTCCAAGCTCATTACAACTTGCAAATCCTCTCACCAAGCCCTTAGGAGCTACTGTTTTTCAAGAGCTTCGTTCCAAGCTCAAAGTCGTGGCTATCACCTCTCTATGAGCTTATGGGGGAGTATTAGGAGGATAACTTAGACAGCAAGTTTCATAACTTAGCATATGCATTGATGTATGTCAACACAATCACCACGCATGAAAGCATACACAACCGTAACTAAGATAGCAATGATTCTTGTAATAAGATAGCGATTCAAGGAATAATATGAGAAATACATTCTATCACGGAGTAGAGAAAAGCAACGGAAAGATCCTTTACCAAGAACGTTAGCTATAAACAATTTTTTTATAAAAGTGGGAAGTAACAAGAAACAAACATGGGTATTCTACAACCAAACACATGAAAGTTTATATGATAAACTCCATACAACTTAAAAAACATACTTCAACTCTTAAACTATTGTACTCCGAGAGAAGTATGAATATACAAATTCAAAATCTTAATTTGGAAGAATAACTTTTCTTTACAATTTCTTTTAAAAGAATCTCAGAAAAATAATTAAATTTCCATAATTATTCCATCCCACATAATCATTTTCTTCATCCAAGATCAGGCACTGTGAAGTACTCATCTTCATCATCATAATCATAATCACGTATGAGTTCGATTCTCGGCTTTTTGTTAGACTTTGAGTTTCTGTGTGACGAATAATGGTTGCTAGCATGATGAGTCACTGGAAGCTGAGGAACTTCAGCTGCAGAAATAGCTTCTTGATTAAACTCTTCACCAAACAGTCCCTCCTCAGTGAACCATTCCATTTCTCCAAATTGCATGGATTCCTTCTAAGCCAAGTAACAACAAAAATCAGTTATTTTTAATTCTTCTTCACATGTATAAAAAAATTTCAATTACGAAAAAAAGTTGCATGTTTTACTTTGTTATGTGAATCATAATCTGCTAACTCCAGTAAGTCATCAACACCCCAAGAGGGTGAGAAGTTAGGGACTTGTTGAGAAGGAGGTTCAACAGAAACTTGTTGAGGATTCCTGCTTGGTGGTTCAAAGTGAGGCTTTTCGTCGTCTTTGGCGCAGTTAGTACTCGCGGCGGCCACTCGGATACCGGTCGCGAGGAAGCGCTGATGGTTGGCAGAAAGACTGCCGACGGGGTGAATAGCTTCATCACAATTCTGACAGAAGAGTGCTCTATCTTCTACACAGAATATGAAAGCTGCCTTATCCTGTTTGTACAATATTTTCATTAGTAAATTTTCAAAAACAACTTATCTACTACTCACAAATACAGTACATACTTACTACTGACAATATTTTCATATAACCTAGAATGAAAGAGGTTATATAAATAATTATAGATCTCATTTCCATAAGCTACTTTTAAAACAAGCTCCTAGTATAACCTAAGCATCTTCAAGCAACTTTCTCAAACATGCTACTTGTAACATCATGATGAAAATATCATATCCTAATCTAGATCTCAACACTTAAGCAAGTTCATAATCTAAGTTCCAACAACTAAATTAATGCAACAATGAGGTAGTGATAATTACTTGGCATATGTCACATCTAGGAAGCTTGTTAGAGAGGGATTGAAGAAGAAGCCTCTGGTGTTTGCTTGCAAGCTTGTTAGCAGCATGAACTTCAATATCACATTTAGCACACAAAGCTGCTTCATCTGCACAACAAATCATTGTTGCTGGAGCTTTCTCACAAACATCACACTGAATTTTCATATTACTTTTTTCACTCTAGTAAGAATATCTCAACTCAAGAAGAATGGATATATAGTGGTGATACCTTTTATGAGACAAAATATTAAGCTAAAAAGGGAAAATGGTGTTATTTGAAGGGAATGAGTGGATGAGATAAGAAGCTTGAAGGGAACGGTAATGAAAAGAACACGAGTTAGTGGGGACAGTGATTTCTTTGCCATGTATTTGTGTGTGGCTGTGAAGTAATGTACATAAATTAATTAATGAGAAACTATGATGATGTTATGTTATTGTGGTCATGGTTTTTTCTGTATATTTAACAACTAGCTTAGATAGATATGTTTGTATTTGTCTTGGTTGTCAACATGTTTGGCTGTCGACTGTTTTTAAAACAGTTGGATGAAATCAATGATCTTTCACTATATATCAAACTTAGGGTATGGTTTGATGAAATCAATGATCTTTCACTGTATATCAAACTTAGGGTATGGTTTGGACTTAAACATATATTTAAGTGAATGAATATATAAGGGGTATTGGTTTTTAAAATTGTATCTATTTGATGAAACTATTTTCTGAATTTCACAATTTTGTAAATACATTATGAATGTGTTGGAAAGTTTGAGTAGCGTCAGAAATATTAATTGGTAAAACATTAACGATTCAAGAGATTTTAACACTAAATATTTATTCAAAATCTTAAAATAATGGAATATGAGTCATCTCTTTTATAAATCCGACATTTCTTTTATTTTTAGTTGATGCAAGATTTATGTCGCTCATATTTGAATCTCAATAATCTTTTCTATAAATATGTGTCGCTCACATCACTAATCTTAATCCATATTAAAATAAGCATTCAAAATCCAAAAGACCTTAACACTATATGTTCATCCAAAATCTTAAAAGAATAAGATATGCATCATTTCTCTTATATTTCTAACATTTTCTCAATTTTAAGTTAATATAAAACTTAATCATTTATACTTAAATCCAAACACAATTTCATTTTACAAAAACAAAAACATGTGAGAAGGGTGAAAATTGTAATTACCATGTGTCTATTGTTGGTGATGATGTGAATCTAAATAATTGATTAGTTGATGTGTGAACAGGGCCGGCCCTAGGGGTAGGCCATCAAGGCTACCGCCTAGGATCTCACTTTTTTTATATCTATATAGTTATAATTTATTAACTATTTTTTTAAAATTTAAATTATTTTATATACTAGTTAAATAATATCATCTATTAAGGATTTATAATAATTATAATTATTTAGGATGTGTATGGTATAATTTAGGATGTATATGTGTATGTTTTCAAAAGACTTTAGATAGATTTATCATAGTTTAATTGAGGAAAATAAATAGGGATTTTGTTTTGTTATTATTTAACCATGCTTTTTTTTAACCACGATTTAATTGTGAAAATTTTTAAACCCCATATGATAGTTGCACGCCTTCAATATTAATAGTCATACTTATAAATACTAAATTTTTAAGTTATTTTTATATAAAAGAATACTTGAAATTTAAGTTTTTTTTTTAAAGAACTTTAGTAATGCTTTTTAAATTATAATTTTTTTAATGATAAGAAGAGTATTTAAATGTATTGATTTTATTATCCATTGAAAGAAAAATATTAAATAAGATTGATTAGAATAATTTAACAATTTTACATTTTAAAAAATCTAAAATCAAAATATATTAATTTAAAATAAAATTATTTTGATTATATTAAAAGTAAAATTTAAAATTTTGCCTCAGGCTTCTAAATGTGTTGGGCCAACTCTGTGTGTGAAATGTGAATTATGTGATATGTGAAAATGTGTGACTGTGAAAGAAAACAATTTTAGTACCCACAATCCAAGTGTATAAGTATGTCTTAAATTTCAAGTGATAAAAAGAAAAAAACTTTGGTATTGTTTATTTTTGATCAAAAAGTCAAAGCTTGGTCAATGATCAATGTTGGACTCTTTAAATGATAAATAGGTTGATTGGTCAACAATTCAGTTGGTCCATTGGTGACTTGAGAGATTCAAAGGTATCAGATTTATTTGTTAATTTTAGAATATTATAAATATTTTTCATATTAATTTAGAGATATTCTAAAATATATTATAAATAAAATAAAATGTTTTTATTTTAAAGGATATTATAAAATATTTATAACTTTTTATTTTAACGGTTAATGAGATGTGTTTTTGGCCTTTAAGGATTTGTTAGGTTTCAATAATTATGAATATGTATCTCTATCATTCTTATCAAAACAAATTTCATAATGTAATCTGAAAAAAAGAGGGAGGAGTTGACAATCCTAGAGAAACTTATAGAGACAACAATAATAGAATTTATATTTCTGTGTTCTTAGAATTTGTGAAACCTTGGGATGTATCTAAGAGGATTCACAGGCACTTATAAATACATTGAACTTGTGTGATTCATATATACATGGTTAGAGCGATTAATAAACATTTGGATAGAAGATAAAATTTCTTCTTGGGAACTTAGGTGACTATTTTCTTGCAACTCTTTTGTGATTTCTTTTTAAATGGAAGTATAGTGAATCAGAGAGCTTCTCACTCCTAAAGTAAATTGTTTGATTAAACTGGATAAACAAGTTATTGTGTTCTTGTTTTTTTATCTTCTTTTGGATTGTTGTGTGTTTGTCTTCATTAATTCTTGGCAGATTATTAAATTGCTTTACGATCTTTATTTTGGTTGTCATTATTCTTTGTCCATGCTGTTATACGGTGGGAGAACTGACTTTTAGGTTTTTCGCTTTATCGCATATGTTGCGGATAACAAGAGTCGCCACCGACTTTTCTTTTATCCAATAAAGGAAAGAGTGAAATAAATAGGAAAGACCTTTTGAGAATTTTCTGAGTTCGGGGGGGGGGGGGGGGGGGGGGGTAGGTTATGAAAAAGGAAGGTGTTAGCATCCTTTTCATCCGTAGTTATCTACGGGCTCTTAATTGCTACCTCATTTTTAAAGATGCTTTGTGCTTGTGTATGTTTGAAATATTTTAAAGATGTCTAAGTGCGACAATTTTGTAATGATTCTCGTATCATTAAGAATGTATACTAAATGTTTTGTTTTGAAAATATTTTAAAAGAAAGTGTTGTTTTGTGAAAAGATGTTTCGAAGATGCCAATGTAAGGGAATTTGCTTTATAGTAACCCTTATATCAGTCCTAAAGAGTGTTTATAAAGTATTTTGAAAGTGGTTGTTTTGAAAGTGTGAGATGTGAAATTTTTTTAGTTTATGAGCAAGCGATTACGAGCGATCTACCTACTCAAAAAGTCTTTGTTCTTTTTCCTCCTCCTTTAGATAATGATATCCTACCATTAGTTAGTAGGAAGCTTTACAATTGGATGTGGGGGACATGCGCGAGTCATCATACAGTCATAGGAGGCAACTTGTAAGATGCTTTAGCAATTGTCGTAAGGGATTAAGATCGTTTACCGAAGGCAGCATCGAAGGGTCATCGAGGGACTATGATCTTTTAACTGAGGGTCTTTGCTAAAGCATCCCACGTTTGAGGGACATGACTGCTTTTTATCTGAAGGCAACAAGTGAGGATCACCCTAGAGGTGTGTGTATGCGAAGTGTTTTGATTTCAAGTATTTATCTTTGAGATTAGGTTTTCTAATGATAAATAATTTTATGTAAAAAAAAAAATTGTTTAAAAAAAACTTTTATGTATTGACACATGAGCTTATGCATTAATACGAAACCTTTATGTATTGACACATGCACTTATACATTGATACAAAAACTTTATGTATTGAGGCATGCACTTATGTATTGATGTGAAAACCTTTCTTGCTTCTAGAAAATGAAATTAACTCAGTATGAGTCGACGCATGCACTTACGTATCGACACATATCTCTTCTTGTTTCTGGAAAATGAAAATTAACTCAGTATGAGTCGACGCATTCGCATTTCTTATCGACTCATACATCAATTTGTATCAATGCAAAATGGTCTGTATTGACTTATAACCTATTTTGTACATAATATGTGTCGACTCATAGTGTTTCGTATCGACTCATACTGCTGTTTTTTACTTCTAACATTATTCAGCTGCATATATGGGTCATTTCTCAACACATGGTTAGTGAAAATGAAAAGTAATCATATGGTTAGCTTCAAGGCAATGATATCTACATTTTATCTTCACAAATGAACCACTAATGATGTTTGTATGGAGAGCTCAAAGTTAAGAAAACTTACCTTGAAACTGAAATTTGTGTTTTGATTTTAAGTTGGAGAAGTCAAGTTGTAGATGGCTGTTTTTGAGTTTGGAGAATAGTGATGTTACATAAGTTATTCTTGAGTTTGGACAACTTCTATATGATATATGTGGAGTGTTTGGATAGTTTGTTTGGACAAAACTTGCAAGGTGTGAGATGTTCAAAGGGTTTGGACTTCAAAGCTCAAAGATGGAGGTTTTTATGGATAGTTCTGGTTTTTAGAGTAAAGGGGGTTTGAGGATTTTCAACATACAAGAGGCTCTCTATTTTCTGGTCTCTTTCTCTTGTAAATGCTCCCTCTATTTATAGACAAGAGGTTTGGGAACAAGAGCTGATTAGGTTTGTAAGACAGCATGTTGTGGTTTGGTTGGGATGCAAATATCAAACTATGTCAATTCTTCATAGTCCCAAGATGAAGTACCAAAGTTGCTGGTATAGAGGAGCTACTTTCCATGATTTATGGTGGAGTAAAATCAGAAGTAAACAAGGTATGGGCTCAAGACAAATTTTGTACCAACAAGCTTGCTTTTCAAGAATAGCAATGGTAACTTTATGCCATAAATGGAAAGATCTTTTAGATAATGGCTCAAACACTTGGGTAATGGTTCAAGCTTTTGTATAATAATTAAATTATGGAGAGATTTGCAAGCAAGAAGGCCTATAATATAATATTATGCAGCATAGCATGTAGATTGGATCATGTGTTCTTCACCAAAAATACTTGTAATTCAAAATTTGAAAGGGACTTTGAAGGGATTTATCAC